GTGGGATATTCTCCACGACTACGCGCGCAATGATAACAACCCGGAGCTGTTGCTTGAAAGCGCCTGGCGAACGAAGAACTGGTCGCAGGACTGGGAGACGATCCAGGAGCAGGTTGAGACGCTACCGTCTTATGGGACTCTTCGTCGACGCGTGTTCGAGTCGTTCCTTGCGCTGGTCAAGCCTACGCCACTTCAAGAGAAGAATATCGAGTTCATGCGGGTGCTCGAAGACGGCATGCAGCTCGCTTTGCGCAAATGGGTTGCATTGCCGTCGTACATGTCGGCCGCGCACATCCCTCTTCTTCATCATTTCCAGCAGTTCGTCGAGCTGCAGGAAGCTGTTCAAATCTTCGGTTCGCTCGCCTCGACCAATGAAACGAATCTGGAAAAGAAGTCGTCGGAGCTGAAGCTCGTCCTCCAAGCGTGGCGCGAACGACTGCCGAACATGCACGACGACATTGACATCTGGAGCGATCTCGTTGCATGGCGTAAGAACGTTTTCCATGCCATCAACAAGGCGTACATGCCTTTCGTCGACCCCAGCAACACCGGCGGCCATGGCACGAACTCTGGCAACAACAGCGGCTACCGCGGCTATCATGAGACCGCGTGGATCATCAACCGTTTCATGCACGTCACTCGCAAGCATCAACTGCACGACGTCTGCCAAACCTTACTTGGACAGATCTATCAGCTGCCCAATATCGAGATCTCGGAAGCCTTTCTCAAGTTGCGCGAGCAGGCGCGCTGTCACCTTCGCAGCTCGAACGACCTTCAAGCGGGCTTGGACGTGATCAACAGCACGAACCTCATGTACTTCTCGATGCCGCAGAAGGCTGAGTTCTCGACACTCAAAGGGATTTTCAACGCAGCGCTTGGACACCCAGCGGAGGCGAACGAGAACTTCTCGGCAGCGCTTACCCTCGAATCGAACCTACCAAAGACGTGGCAAGAATGGGCTAAATTCAACGACAACATGTTCAGCGAGACGAACGACGTCACGTATGCCTCGCAGGCGGTGGCGTGTTACTTGCAGGCTGCAGGGATGTTCAAGAGCGGTAAAACGCGTATGATGCTCAGCCGCGTTCTTTGGCTTCTCGGTGTTGAGGACGCGTCTGGTGCCGTCCTGAAAGCGTTTGATACATACAAGGGCGAGGCCGCGTACTGGTATTGGATCTCGCTGATCCCGCAGCTTTGTGCCTCAATCTCCAATCGTGAGGTGCGCCAGGCGCGTTTCATGCTGCTCAACATCGCGAAGCTCTACCCGCAGGTAAAGCCCGTATTTGCTCTTGCAGCCGCCCTCGAGCTGACATGCTATTAGGCGCTATTCTTCCACCTACGCACTACTCGCGACGAGATGGCGCACGCGCGCCGTAGCGTGATGATGAGCGAACAGCGCCTTCGAAATGCGGAACAGCAGCTGCAACAGCGCAACGGCGGCGACGTGGTTATGCAGGACGCGGCTACGAACGGGAATGCTCCTCAGCCATCAGGTGTCGACCCGTCGCTGTTGCGCGAGCTGCAGGCGGCCAAGAACCTGCAACGACCGGGCTCTGAGCACATCGACGAGGTTGTGCAGATCTTGAAGACCGCGTTCCCGCTTCTTATCCTAAGTATGGAATCAATGGTCGAACAGCTGAACTCCCGGTTCAAGACGTCTCCGGACGAGAACACGTACCGTTTCATATGTATGCTGCTTCAAGAAGCCCTGCAGGTTTGTTTCGATCTTGCCGACAGATTGATCGTTCGCTGACTCGTATAGACCTACGCGATCAAGGTCAACCAGACGCCAGACGAGCCTGGCATTCGCCCAGAGACCTTGGCCACCATGCAACGCGTCTTGCACGATATCCCGCTCGTCTATCGCGTACGTAGCGTTTTCTATAAGCTAAATCAATCATTCAACGCGCTGTAGGGCGACTTTGAGGCCGACTTCCTAGACAAGAAGCGGCAGCCTACTCTCAACGAGTACATCCGGCGACTCCAGTTCTGGCGGGATCGATACGAGAAAGTTCTCGACGCTCGTCCGCGCGTGCAGAGCCTTGAGCTTCTCAGCCATTACCTCACCGAGTTCCAGTACAGCAAATTCGACGACATTGAGATACCGGGCCAGTATACGGAGGTATGATGAATGCTCGATGGTTTGAATTTCCGCTGACCTCGTGCTCAGGACAAGGACGGCAACCAGAACTTCGTGCGCATCGCCAGGTTTGGCCATCAGTTCGAGAACTATCGCGTGCAGGGCCAGTCTTGGAAGAGGTTCACCATGATCGGCCAGGACAACAGCGTCGTATCTTGGGTTGTACAGCTCCCCGCGCACCGCTATTCGCGTCGTGAAGAGCGTCTTATGCAGACGCTTCGTATGTTCAATCAGTAGGTCTAC